TATATATATATATATGAGAACACTTTGGAGCATATAAAATGAATGCTATATTTTTTATATAAAATATAGGATTCTATATATTATTTTTACATATTTTATAATTATATAAATGTATTATTATATTCTTATATTATAAAGTAAACATTCATTCACACGTCTTTTGTGCTAGTATATATGACATAAATAGTATAATAAATTTCATCTCAAAACACCTTAATATAAGGATATATATAAATTAATATTTTTTAAGGAAAGAAAATTTTTAAACAAGTAATTTTCTTTCATATTATATAAAAAAATGTTTTTTTTTTATTAAATCACAAAAAATTATTGTATCAAAAAGGCGATAAGTTTTAATTCTAATAGTGAAAGTATAATAAAAAGTATATGAAATTATTTACCAATATCATAAATATGACATAAAATAGCATAGATATATTTAGAGCATTATATATGAATTTCGTATAAATTTAGTGTGTATATACTTATATGTATGTGTAGCATTAGTATTTAATATCTGGAAATTCATCTTCAATCGTTGCATGTTATAAAATTTAATAATTTATTATAATATTTTAATTGAACTATATTTAATTATTAGAGATATATGTAATTTCAGTGTATATTATCATATTAGCTAATATTCTGTATAATTATTTTATATATATTATACACTTATTAATGTAGAAATTCTATATTCATATAAAAAAACAGTATATAATAGCAAAATAAACGAGAAATAAATCTTTTCCATTTTTTGTTCTACATTTATATGGATAGTTAATAAGATTTTAAAAACTATATATTGTTTTATATGAATGCTAATATCATGAGTACAAAAAGATAGTTTTACATTATTCTCTACTATATAATGTAATTAATTCTCTTTCATATAAATTTAGCACATGCATCAAAATATATATACGTCACAGTAATTTTTATGTTTTAAATATAATATATTTTTCTTATTATATTTTATTATATACAATAAAATTAGGTAGATTTATATAATATATGATAACCATTTTTTCTAAAACTACAAAGGGAGTTTTCAGATAATTCCTGTATATTTATTTCTTTATCTATATTATTATATTGTTTTCTCTTATTTATAGCTGAACATCGAAAGCTTGAACCGTATGGCGTAAACTAATTCAAAATTAAAAAAATTATTATATAAAATGTGTAATATTTTTCTGGAAAATTGTTCATTTTAAATTACATAAAAATACACTATTGCTGTATAAACTTACGTACGTAACATAATTATTAACCTTATATAGGAAAAATAAAAATGAAGAAATTGCTAAAGTTATACAAATTGGAATTAATATAAGGGTTATTATGTTATAGCTTTTAAACGAACGTAGAGTTCTGGGGATTCCAGGTTCACATACTTTGTTTATCATTTTTGCATCATATTGTTTTTTTATATTTAATAATTCTGTACAAAAATATGGGATATTATTATAATTACAAGTTTCCACATACTTTTCATATGTTTGGGCACACTTTTTGGCACAATGACAAATATTATTACATTCATCAGTTATATTATTTATTTTATTAAGTTCAGTATACATGTCATGTATATCTTTAAGTTTTAATATTTCATCATCTGAAATTGTAATACCCCTAAAGTTAGTGCATTGAGCATCTTGGTGCTCATTATTTACTCTAATCAATTCATTAAAAGGATTTTTAATTTCTGTACCATTCTTACCTTTTTCTTTATAAGAATAGTATAGAAAATAATACAAGTATACACAATGAGCTTCGTATAGGTTGCTATTATTATGTTTAATTGTCTGAATTTCATTAAGATAAGAAAATGTTTGAGGACATTTCTCTTTGAATTGTTCTTTAATATTTCCATTAATTTCCTCCTCGTATCGTTCACAATCACTAGTATAAGAATTTTTATTTATTTCAGCTTTTTTTATATTTTCATCACATGTAGAAAATAAATTTGCATATTCGTACTAAAAATATGAAAATTATTGTAATTATAATAAAAATCATATATGTATGGAATAAATTACAGTAATTATAAAGAATGAATATAAAATTATCATAATACAGTAGTCCATTTTATTGAAAAAAAAGCTCACAATGTTTATGTTCATATTAGATAATAATATATTTCTTTAGATATGGTTTGAAAAAAGAGATAATATACATGTACATTCAAATAGTTTTTTATTAAAATAAAATATATATGGTATGAAAAATCACACTGTTTATTTTTTTATAAATATTGTATATATATATATTTATGTACAAATTAGATCGTTAATTATTATATATTATAAAATAATTGAATCATTTGTAATATATATACCATTTTTTATATCATTTTAAAGAAGGATATTTAAAAACAAATACAAAATAAAATGAGAAAATATAAGAAGGATTGTAATAATGAAATATTAATATAACAAAAATATATAAGAATTATATATTTTTTAATAATTAAGTAAGCATAAAATGTTAATATAATTCTTTTAATTTAAATATATATATAATAATTTTATATCTATTTCACTTTAATTTTCATAGTATTATTTATTATTTAATTAAAAATTTATAAAATATAAGAATGTATTAGTATTATGGACGATGAAAAAGATAATGATTTTTTTACATTTTAAAAAAATGGTATAAAATTATTAAAATAAAATATGATCATTTAATAGAAATATGTTAATATATTGTATGAAACATATAAGATATATATGTGTACAAAGTGAAACATTAATTAATATTACAAATATAAATATTTATATTTTCTTTTATATTTCTCATATATATGAAGGATAATATATTTATATCATAAAACATTCGGCTATAAAAAATTCAGACATAATCAATTTAATACAGATCTAAGTGTTTTTCATAAAATAATCATTTGAATTATAGATGTTGATCATATTCAAAATTTATAACTACAAGGTACTTTAATTTATATATACATAATTATACCCTTATACAGTTATAATAATACCGTGTGCTTAAAAGTCTTTACTTCATAATTTAATGAATTTACAGTATGCGTTTATTTTGAAACATTTTAAGTTACATTAGCCTTTATAGGATTTTATATATTTTTTATTATATACATATGATAAAATTATAAATTTAGATATACAATATAATTCAGGAAATATGTGCATAACATGTGTAAATTATAATAATAATTACAATATATATTTACCCTATAAATACAAAATATAAAATTATATAATATATAGCATATACTAGGGTTTTTAATATAAATAATAACATTTTTTTATAGAAATAAAAAATTTTTATCCTATCATTGTTAATTCATAACTAAAACTTATATATTCTGTATATAATAAATACAAAAAATATTATTTTATGATAATAATTTATTATCTTACGTGCTTAGTATTAATAAAAATGGTATTCATTAAGGAACTATATATTAATAATGAATTATTTAAAAATATTATAATAATTATTCAATGAATTAAAAATGTACTTACATCTTAAGTGTATAAATTTTGTATTTGTCAAATATTATTATTTTTTGATAAATGGTCCACTTTTTATATGAATAAATAATATAAGTTTTTTATGGAAAAAATTTACATATTTATTAAGAACTCATTTACAATTTGATAATGATTTCGTAAGTAGAATATATTATGCATTATTTTGTGACTTCAAAATAATTATTATAAGATAATGAACCTAAGAATATAGTACACCTCATATAGTTTAAAATTAACTTTTTATGATATAAATTGAGGGCTTTATAAGAAAAAAATATAAATATAAATTGAAATTTACTTAATTAATAATTAATAATATAAGCAAAATAATAATTAATTAACACATATTATATAATATATTATGTTATTATCAAAATTAATGCCTAAAATATTCAATAAAAAAAAAAATTATATATGAACTCCAAAAATAGTGAGGCTTTTGTAGATAAATACGACTCAATAAGAGAACTGCAAATGCTATATTGAAATATGGATCTCCTTATATATATTCTCCTTGTACAAAACTTAAATGAGTTTATCGAAATCTACCAAAGAAGGAAACATCTTTGATAAACAGAATAAGAGGTATTCGAAAATTACAAATATATAAAGATAGAATGCATAGTGCAAAAATATATAATGAATACGATTTTTCAAGGAGAATATATTGACAATTTGATCCAGAAATATTTTCACATGTAATTATTTACATGGACAGTTGTAAAATAATTGATATCTTAAAGATTTATTTAAGAAATTTGTCATATTTACATGCACTGATTTAATATAAATAATGATATATCCAAATATAATGATTAGAAGTTAAATTCTGGCAAAAACCGCTTAAGTATATAGGGTCATATAAAATGCATAAAAATAAATAAAGTACTGAATGTTCATAAGTTTAATTTAAGTTACAATCACAAATGAAAAATGACTTTTTCTGGAAAAACATGTTTGTACATATAATTGCATATTTATTTTGTTATAATAGCAAGATAATGAACATACCTAATGTTAGATATATTAGTCTTTGTGTCTCCTTTATTTCTTGGATATGGTAAAATATATTTTATATAAATAGTGTTATCAAAAAAAAGAAGTGAAGTAATAATTTGTTCTCACATATAATTTTGACAGATTATACATATATTTCTATGTTATTTATCTTGCAACATATATAATATTATAAGGTTGCATGAAATCACAATGAATAAATGATATTTGATTTGTGTAATAGTTTGTTCCTTATTGTAAATAGGATTAATATTTAAAATTATTTATATAATGTTTAAAAAAAATACCATCATTGTTGCTTTAAAATTACGACTAGGTTTTTATTGTGTATATAAAATTTTATTATTAATTTAATATACGATAAATTTAGAATATACATATAAACATAATATATTTATAAAGGTACACGTTATTTTGCTCGTTTATTAAAATGAATATAATTTTTTTTTATATATCATTTATTAAGTAACTGTATATTACACATTTCAGTCTAACTTCATTTAATTATATCTTTGTTAACTGGAGGTATAAATATAGCGTGATTAAAAATATTAAAAATTATTATAAGAGGAACTATATTATATTGTTAGAAAGTCATTTAAAATTTGTTGCTATTTATTTATATTAGTAAAATTAGTTTTTATTTCAATCCAGTCCTTTTATTACACTTCCAAGGAATTTGTTTATAATAACATTATTACTGTCCCCTAGCTATCTAAATTATAAATATTGGAGATTTTAAATATAATAACTGCCTTAAATGAATATAATTGAGTTCCCTTTCATTGGTTCCGAGGAATAATTATGATCGTTCTTTAGATACATATTATTAAATATACTTTAATTGAACATAAATTATTGAGAAGAAATCATTATATTTTTTGTCTTACATAATCATTACCTATTTATAGAGGTATTTATATTTATTTTTATTATCTATATTAGGCAAATTTAATCCATTTTATTTGTCCCTTTAATACTAAATTGAATTCTTCAACTTTATATGTATTTTTCTTTTGGAAAATACTAAGCATTGGCTACAGTATATATAAATATTTGTTCTTAGTTGTTACATTCTTTTTACACATTATATAAATTTTTATATTTTTTACAACATTTTACATTAAAACAAATGTTCTTCTTATATGATATAAATTTTTATTATATAATTTTTACACCTGATTCACGGAATAATATCTTTTATAATATTGAGCTTTGAAAATATCAGAATTTTTCATTATTAAAACTGAGATCATAATGTTGATAGTCTTGCTACTAATATATTTTATATATTTATTCTTATTTAAGTTAAATTAATAAGTAATTTTTTTTTAGAATAGAAGGAAATATATATATGCCTGTTTTATTTATTATTGAATATATATTTAAGTCATTATTAGAATACTTACACATGTCTATGTAAATGCACATCTGAATTAATAACAAGAAATGCATTTTTTTTTTAACAATATGTGCTTAATAAAAATTAGTTTTTTATTATAATTATTTACATTCTTCAAATATATAATGTTATATTTTTATGAATTACTAATTATGTAATACACATTAAATGTATTTAAAGAATACTGTAAATTATATATACATAAATGTTGTAGATATTTCTAAAACATTATATTTTTATTTGTATTATAGATTATTTATTTAGATTAGCTTTAATGATTATTATATATATGTCATAAAGCATTTATTTATACTCATATATTTTTATAACATTTTTTCCTCAACATACTAACATTTATTTTTTTAAATTTTAACGGAGGTAATAGTATAAAATTATTTTCCTAGTTATATATATAATTTTGATAGTAACTATCTAGTATAATTGATACATATTTTTCTAGTAAAACATGCATTAACATTTATGCTCACAAGGTAATTTATTAGCTCTTTGATTTTGTATTATTATTGATTACTTGTGCGTTATATTTAAATTAATATTAAGGTATTTATTTTATTACTTGTTATATAATAGTATTAATGAATTTATAGTAAAATTTCATACTATTGTTAATAAATGAAAAAATGCATATATTTAAAAATAATTTTTACAATAAAAATATTTAACAATATATATATTTAATTTATTTGGGAAATTTAGAATACATTTTTAAATGTTTTTAATTATAAAATATAATAATTGCTATAAAATAGACATACATAAGCAACATCGTTATAGTAATTCATTGAAAAAAATGAGTTAAAAAGAAGTTCTATATATTACAATATTTTGTGTCATATAGGAGCTACAATTATTTTAAGTAACAAAAATAATGTAAAACATGTGTTCTTTTACATAATACATAGAATTCAAAATATGAGGAATAAAAATCCACAAAAAAGTATTACATTAATGATTAATTATAATAATATAATTCAGTGTCACGCATATATGATAATTTGTCGAATTTATATAAAAAATATAATATAGAATATTATATAAAAGAAGGTAAAAAATAATACAACCATTTATGAATACTTAAATAGGAATATTATGGGATCTGTAATGATATATCTTTATCAAATTTATTCATTAATTATTTATACTTAATAAATATTTTTCATTTTTGCAGTATTTAACTATATTAATATTTTTTAAAATATAACATTTGTTTTTTCCTAATTAGCCTACATAACATATTTAATAATATACTTCCATATTACATATATGTTTAATGAACACATGTAGTGATATAACATACATTTTTTTTATTGAAAACTTGTTTTGTTTCATTTTATTCAATTATAAACAACATTAGTATAAGCATTAATGAAGTATTATAATCATTAGAAAAAATAGGAAACTTTTAAGGGAAATCTTCAAATGTATCAATTATGAATTAATTAGGACAATTATCTTATAGAGTATATAGCTCAGTTAATCATTATGTAAAAATAAAAGTAACTAAAATTAAAAAATGATACGTTAAAGTTATAATAGTTGTGATAAAGAGTTAAGCATATTAATTAATATCAACTATAAATAAAAAAGGTTATCATAATACTTATAAATATGTTTTAAATAGGCTTAATATATAGGACACATATTTTATTATGTATTTAAAGAAACTTTAATTAAAATGAATCTTATAAAAACACTTTTATAAAATAATAGATTAAATATTTATATTTAAAAAATATTCTATTTTTGTATGGAAAACATGTATATATCCAATGAAATCTAAATATATAATCGAATAATTCTTATCACTCTTTCCATTTTTTATATACTATAAATACTGTATTATTCTAACATATTCCTGTTGACATTTGTATTTCGCATACAGTTATAAGAAGATATTATATTTATATTGTAGCATAAGCAGACATGGGTCGTTTTATTTTATTATATTTGTGTATTTATCCATGATATGTAAATTAGATCAGTTTTTTTTTTTTCTGAAAAGGATGGAGAACCTTGTCTATTTCTAAAATGATGAAGATGATGTAAAAATTTTCTCATTAAGTTTCTTCCATAATATGTATTATTTTTAAATTTATTAATTTTGGAAAACTATAGAAAGATAATAAATAATTATAAAAGAGCTTGTATTATTAAATTTATTAAATTTAAAGATAAATTTCTTTAAATACTTCATAAATATATTGATAATTTTTAATATTACATTATATATAATAAAAAATATGAGTAAAACAACGATCTTTAACAAAATAAAAACAGAAAAAACCATTTTCGTCGGCGATGAAATATTAGTATTATGAAGAGTTCCATTATGGATTATTATATACTGAGTTTTTTTCTTTATCCACTCTTTTAATAACGAAGTAATATTATCGTCCCCTTTAGGATAACTGGTTTCATAATTATTGTATTGATCTCTCAGAAAACATTTAGCAATTATTGTATTTGGAAGGAGCTTTTCTACATTTAAATCAATATTTAATAAAGACAAACACAAATTCATAAGTATAGAATTTTTGGATTCACTAAGTATATCATTACTCTCCAACGCATTGGATATATTTTCTTCAAAGGTATCCTAAATAAAAAAGAAAAAGAAATTAAGATTAAAAATAATCAACTAAAAACAAAAACATAATGCCTTTTACAAATAGATATGTATAAATATAATAATTTATTTAAATAATTGTTTTCATTGATAAGATGTATAGCAGTGTTATAACCTTTGTCATATTTTCTAAGTACAGACTTTAGGGGAAATGATATTGGTTTAAAGTGTATTACACAAAATATAGTGATTAATTAAATTATAGCGTTTAAGGTGAATTTTAAAGGTTTTCGTTACATTCATTATGTTTCTTGTATTTCTTTTTTTTTTCTGTTACTATATATGATATTATAAAAACATAAAAAATAATATATTTGCACGTTACATAATTCATATTTCTGTGGTTATAGATCATTTATGAATGATTTAGTATTATATAATATTACTAAAATTATATTAACTATGTCTATGTATTGATATTTATATACATAATTATTAATTTATAGTTAACAAAAATTTTTTTATTTTCTGAATGCATTAATTTAATAACAGTTTAATACATTATTTTATATATAATATATTTTATTTGTTATTGTTTATTAGGATTTATCTAATTAATCTTATATGCAACTAATTACCTTTTGTACAGCAAACTATTCTCATGAAGTTTTAATATATTATAAAATTTGATAAACCCATTATATTAATGAATATATAAAGATAACAATTTAAATTTATAAAGTACTATTTATCCCTCTTATATTACAAATATAATAAATATGATATTTAAAAATATTTTTTACTAAGATATAATATTTTGATTATAAATTCTGTAATTAACAGTTTATATATGTTGTCGAAAAAATCTTAATATTACATAATATTTAATTTTTATAATACATATATAATTGTTCAAACATTTCATATTGATTTTTTTCGTTATATGATGGATATTTTTCTTTCACAATACAGTTATAATTAAGTTATTTTTCCCATATTTTTTTTTCATAATAATTTTTAAGATAATGTAATAGGTTTTTATATATTTTCATGTGATATTTTTTTAAGATGTATATATATTTAAGGCATTTTGGATTTAATATACAGTTTAGAATAAATAATATATATGAAATATTAAAATATTTCTTATGATTGTTATGTGTTAAAAGTATTATAAAATTAAATATATGCAATATATTAACAGTGATAGTTTTTATAAAAGCAGTAATAATATAATTTCAAAAGAATGTTATTTTATTATGGAAAAATATATTATATATAAACGAATAACCTTTTCTTTAATGATAATTAGAAAAATAAATTAATTAATAACATATTTTATAAAGTACACGTATAGTATTTTTTTTTGCATGTACACTTTTTTATATTATATAAAACATATTTGTAAATGTTAATAAATGAATAATGAGATAAAATATGTTGTATTATGCAAATTTTTATAGATTAACTATTTTATCTGGTTAAGGGGGTGTTTCTATTTTTTATATTGTTTTTACAGTGTTATTGTTTAAATTAGTAAATTTTTTTAATAGCTATCTTTTATTATTTGAATATAAATTTAATAATTCTTCTTTTGAATCATACATTACATGTTTTACTATCGAAGTGTAATTATAATTTTGTTCTTTTCTATGTTTCAATATTTTGATATTTATACTAATAGTATCATATATTATTAGAATATTTCGTTCAAGAACAATGTATATCAACATTTAATATATATTATTTACTATTTTTTATATATATTTATCATAAGATTTATTTAGATCTATATGGTCTTTCATATAATAACATATGTATTTTTTTCTTATTTTACAATTTCTTATAATACATTTTCTTATATTAATACATTATAGTTATTTAAATGTTGTATTATAAAATAAAAAAAAAAAAAAAAAAACGTAAATTTTTTCATCCATCTATGCTATGTACATATTCTTGTATTTTTTTTTCTTTTATTTAACAATCTAGCTAATTGTTCCACATTTAGACATAGAGATAGGTAGTATTTTATTTTTACTTATGCAAAATATAAATATATTCTAGATGTATATGTTATACTGTTTTTTTTCCTATAGTCAAATATGATTTTTAGGTTTGCAGATTTGAAGTTCATATGATTTGTTAATCATATACTTTATCTTCCTTTTTTTGTAACGAAAATAAGACGCAAATACTTTCCAAATTTTGTGAACTAATGTTAATAAGATAATGTAACGAATTCTTAAGTATACTTATTTGATGAAGTAATTTTTTTTAAAATATTATATAAAAATAATTTTTTATTTTTATAGTTTATTAATAGAATGCTTATTAACTTTACATAGTTACAGAGTAGGTGCTCCTACAGATATAATAACAGTTAATATTACTATTATAGCTTTTTTAATGGTATTATAAGAAATAGTATGGATATGAAAATTGTTTTGAGAACTTCTAGTACATCATGCTGTACGTTCGTTTCTCTCACTACATTGTATGATTACATATAAAGAATAGAATAAACATTATCTGAGAGGATTGGAAATACCGTTGTACAATTATTATATGAACTCAGTACATTATTTTCAATTAGGCATCTAATATTATTCAATTCTTTGAAAAATTTTTTATCTCCTTTTTCTTTATAATTATGTATTAATGTATTTTATTCCACAATCAAAAATACTTAATCATTTACATGTATACTATTCCCACCTATATATATTAATTGACTCAAAAATACTCTCGTATGCATAATATACATCATAAACATCATATAGATTTTCTATTTTAACAAATAAGTACGCCATCATATATTATATTTGGACATACATTTATAATATATATATTTAGAATTGTTGTTTTCAATATAATCCTTAATATATTTAAATATTTGTTGTTTCTGTTCATGAAGTGCGATTCTTAAATGTTTATTTATCCATTAGTTAATGTAAATATAGCATTTAATGTTATTACACGATTCATTGTTTTTAATATAATCAAAATATTTTTTTACTTTTTCATATTCTGTAGCTACTTTAATTCCTAACTCTTCTGGAATAACTAAGCTTTTAACGTATGCGTTAATTTCATCTGTATTGATGATGTTTCCTCATGTTTTATCGAATGATTTCTAAAAAATTATTTAATCGTTAAATGTGTAACACCAACGAACTATATATAAATTATAAGTAATATATATATGAATGTATATATCAAAAAAGTAAATTATTTGTTAAATTATTAAGGAATTTCATGAGAATATTGAGGCAAGACTTAGTTTTCCCCTAATATATAAAAGTTATTGTTTCAGTTGTTATATTATATGACATTATATCTTTTTAAAAGAAGAAAATATATAATAATAAAATTATATTATATATGAATAATAAATCATTCTAAAATTAAAAAAAAAATATATATATATTCTTCATAATTCTTTTATTATTGTATATCTCAAAATAAAAAATTTATGGATTGCATCTCTATTTATATGTATACTACATTATCTACTGCTAATAGTTTATAAATCAATTAATACTAAACAGGATTTGAAACTCATATATTAATGTACATATTTTAAATTAATACATAGTATAATAGGTACACGAGAGTATTATTTAAATTATTAATTTATACATTTATAAATATTTTACATATTAAAATGTATAATTTATGCATAATATTAAATATACATTAAGGAACAAATGTTGTGAAAAATATATATGTTCTTTTGAATTAACATAATATAGTGAATGATATGAAAAGTTTTATTATATGTACTAACCTAGTACGTATTTTCTTATGATGTGAATAAATAATTTTTTTATATTTATTATGGGTTTTTTTTTTGAATTTAAATTAAATTATTTTTTATTTTCTATTTAATATGTTATAAAAAATAATATTTTAATATGAATTAAACTTTTATTGTAAATCATAATATCTATGAAATATAGGCAGGAGAATATAATATAAGTCATGTGTTAATACAAACGCTTTTACAGTTATAATAAGTGTAAAATATTATATATAGTTAAATAAAATTTAACGATATTATAAATTGTAAGATTCAAGTCATAAGATAAAAATAAAGGACAACATTTATATGATATAATACATTTTAATTACATGAATTTATTATTTTGTTGAATATAAGAATTCACAACAAAAGACGCATATATGTTTAAACCATTTTTAAAATAGTTGGAAAATATATTATGTATTTTTTAAAACAAAACTAAAAGATGTATGAAAAATAAACATACTAAAATTATTCTTAATATGTTAAAATATTTTATACTTCAGTTATGTGAAATAATAAAAGTTGTTTATAACATAATAATTTAATTCATGTAAAATATATCTAAATAAATTAGAATGCGTGCAAAAATTATTTAAAATTATGTATATTTTAGAATATAAATGTAATCATGTACGTTAAAAAGTATTGAGTAATATTCATGTATATACATAGATATAATTTTTTAAGCATATAAAAAAAATATGATAATACTATTACTCCAGAACATTGGATTTCTAATATTTTATATAGCCTAATATGAACAAATATATTGTAAATTCTAGTTTATTAAAATACTATATTCCTTTATCACTATAATAACTTCTCTTCTATTATTAATGCGTACTAATAATTTAAAGCAATCAAATTTATAAAAAATCAATTAAATCTTTATGGGTATATTGATTAGTTCTTAATTGAATAATATATTTCTTTTAAGTTTTCTATAATTATACTGAGAAAAGAACGTATTTATTTTAAGACACAAACAAAAATATGCATGAGAGAATTGCAATAACCAAAAATTCTGAAGAAGTTCAAAATAATAAAGATTTAATAACTGATATAAAGAATAATCACAATAAAGCAAAATCTATGTTATCGTATGTGTAAAACGTTTTGGATGGAATTCAAAAGAGAAAAATATGGAAGTATACATAATTTGTATGAGTATACAGGGAGTATGTAAATTATTATAACTCTGCAAAAGATATTATGGATCGCTAATGTAATATAATAAATATATTAAAAGATCAATTAAGCAAAATATCATGTTTAATAAATTATACCGAAAATGAATTTATTAAATTAGAAAATAAAGTATATAATATATTAAATGCATCTGTTTATGATAGTTTATCTGCTGGTAAAAGAAATTGCTAGTTGATATAGAAGAAGATGCACAGAAATTATATGGAGAACAAGTTGCAAATCTGTCTCATGTACAAAGGTAATCGGATGAAACTGACTTGAACGATAGTAACAATAGTATGGTAACTAAAAATGATATCATTATAAAAGAGGAGAAATAACTATAGTAATATATGTAGGAACAATTATTTTGGGATTATCTATTTTTTATTGTCTCCGTTTAATTGCATTTAAATGGA